CCCTTGGATTTGAAGCGGTTTTGCAGATCACTCCTCCCTTAGACTTTCCTACAACGGCACCGGCTTTTCCGTGGTAGTATCGCGCCCTAGCACTGTGCCTTGACGGCTGAATTGGAATCGGCGGCGCTCTCTTGTTGGACCATATTATTCAAATCGGATGCCGTTAGTGGAAAGCTTCGGCATGTGTAGTTGAAGGAAATCTTGTTTCGCAACTGAAGGCTCCATCAGAGCACCTTTTCGAATCCCTATCAGATTGGGACTGGTGAGCAGAATTTAGGGATATTCTTCTCCCAACCTTCCCTATGGCTACCGTCCAGCAGTTGTTAGCGAGCCCAGGTGCAACGGGAAGCCCTGGGTCAACCTCGGGTTCCCCCAAAGTTATCAAGATGGAGATTGAAAGGGCCAGCCAGAGCCCGTCCCTTCACAACGGGAATGCCTTCGGCGGCGGCACCCCCCAGACCGGTGATCATCGAGTAGTAGTCATCGTGTATGGCCAGGGCCAGGACCTGATTGTGTCCGTTTTTGCGGAGGTACTTGGGAAACCGTACAAGATGAGGGACAGTTTCAAGGATGTGGGCCACGAGGAGCGTGGACATGTTGTTGGTATTCTCGCCGCGGACGCCAAATCGGACGTCGAGTTCAGGAATTCGGAGAATGTTGTCGCCATCAACGCTCACTGCACGGGGCTCGGGATGCCACCCGACCTCCATCTATCTGCCCACTGCGACTACGAGTTTCTCTACACCGAATCGCCTTTCTTCAGACGTGACCTGGCTCGCTTCACATCCTTCGTCTTGGGTCAAATCAGCCACCACAAGGAGCTTATGGAGAAACCCCGAACTTATTTCATCTCAACCACTTTCCCCGATGTTAGGGCAGCTTTACCCAACATTGATATCCTCACTGTGGGGGCTGACGCCGTTGAGATCCGCGTGGATCTGTTGCGGGAACCGTTGGCAGATGGCTCCTTTTCCCAGGTCCCTAGCCTAGCATATGTTGGCGAACAGGTGATGCTCCTTCGGCAGAGGACAGAGCTACCCCTCATTTTCACCACGAGGTGTACCCGTGAGAATGGCAGATTTCCAATGGATGATCCCGAGCTGTACTATAAATACCTCTACCGGGCAATCCAGTGGGGAGTCGAATATATTGATGTAGAGCTCTGGTTACCAGAACATATGCGACAGAAGCTCTATGAGAACAGGGGCAGCTCTCGCATAATGTCGGCCTTCCATGACTTTACGGGCAATTTTAGGTGGCCATCGTCCTATGCATACGACGTGTTCCGGCGCTCCTCCCAATACGCCGACATCGTGAAGATGATTGCTATCATCAACGAGCATAACGAGAACTTCGAGTTGGAGTATTTCAGATCCAAAGTTCGATCGGAGCACCCCGAGGCTCCGCCACTGTCGGCTGTCAACATGGGAGAGACCGGCCAGTTTTCACGAACGTTGAACAAGGTATTCACCCCGGTCACCCATCCCCTACTTCCTATCATCGCTGCGCCAGGTCAGATGAGTACTGCAGAGATCAATGCCGCCCTTTCTTTGCTAGGCCAATTACCCAAGAAGAACATATATGGGATTAGCAGTGTTGCCTCGCGAAGCGCCACGCCGCTGGCCCCTTTCTATGAGAAATGCCTGAACGAGCTTGGCCTGCCGCATCATTTTGCCATCGTCGAGCGCCATCCAGGTAACCCAGGCAGCATCGAACCCTTCTGTAACCAAAAGGGTTTTGGCGGCGCATACCTGGATCCAGGGTTCTCTCACCATTCTCTGATCAAAGCCAGCCCCTTCTTCTCTAGTTTGAATAATGGAAGCGGGCCCAGCCTCACTGAGGCAGCTCGTGTAATCGGGATTTTCGACACTATCGTGGTTCAGTCTGCGTCATCTTCAACCTCCAACTCGTCACCTCCCTCCGTTCCTTCGAGTCCCCACCGCCGTGCGCACGATGGTCACGGGCCTGTTTACCACCATTCGGCGTTGCCTCCCAATACAACACTGATTCTCGATAATGCCAGCTGGAAAGGCATAATGAGTGCTCTTACTCGCGACCTTGCTCCTTCTGCATACGCTGGCAGGTCCGCTGTTGTCTTGGCTTCGACCTCGGATGACGCTGCGGCGGTGTTCTACGCGATGAAAGCTTTGAGGATCGCAAAGATCTATACTATTGGTTTCAGGACACCGTCATCGCTAGCGAGGAACGCGCCACCTATCGAGCAGTTTATAAGTCTTGAAAGCCTCCAGCGTGCACGGTCCGTCGCCGATGAAACCGCTCCTTTTGTGATCGTTTCGGCCCTCGGACCAGATAAGAGCCATCTTGTAGGCATGATGATTCGAGCATTTGGGGCGGTGGGCGGTCATGTGTCCAACACCAAGAAAGTATTCCTCAACCTTGCTGACGAAGCGACGTGGAATAAGAGCGACCCTGGCACAGTTGCGGAGAAAAGTGGCTTCACCGCGTATGGAGCGGCAGACGTGGCAGCGTTTACAACGGTCGAGAGTCTGAGGCTCTTGATTGGGCAGAATGTGCCTTATAGTTTTGTAAGGCTTGCCAGTGGTAGAAGCCTCTTCTGAAGAAGGCAGCATCACTGTCCGCTCGACTGTCATGAGTGTGGGCTCAAGGCTCTACCGGATTATGAATGGGAAGCCAGTTCTCTGGGACGCAACAGATCCTCGCATGGTCTTGGAAAAGCAAGAGTACGCTAGCCATGATTCCAGGCCAGACTGTTGTTGCGGCTGGTCGTTGAGGAGTTCCGAGCCAAGACAACAACTTCCAATCTACACCACGTCAACTACACCGGTATCGCTCTGGAGATTCCCATTCCCTGACTATCCATCGTTTTATTTGAAATTCAAGAGGGTAGGTGTGTTTTTATTAGCATCAGGCACATGTTGTGGACGATTCCACCATCTTTCGGAGTTTGGCTAAGGTGTCTGGCAATGATGGTTTCGAACTTTGTTTGTTTTTCTCCCGGGGGCGCCTGAATGGGTTCATGGTCGTTGAAGTCATATAATCAAGCAAGGTACAAGTCTATATGGATGGATGAATGGTGCAATTTGACCATTTTTCGGGGGGCGGGCAGGTCACAAGGCGCACAACGAATCAGAAATGAGGATAGTTGGAGTTTAAATGAACAGGTAGCTGGTGATATACCGGCCTAACCTGAAAGACATACAACCAATCCACTCCCTTTATGATAGACCACATCACGACAGTTATTCTTGTTGTTTCAAAATAACCTTGTTCGCCAATATCCGAACGACCAGCCGGCAGACAGGGATCGGAAAAGGGAGCTCGGCAGTGTAAACAACATTTAGTCGGAGCCAAAGCCTCCCTCTGGCTGAACAAGACGATATCACATGGCCAGTGAGGACTGGAAATCACCGACGGACAGAAGGCCTTTTCCGGCTGATGGCGACTTTTGGCAAATACCCAGACAAGGCGAATGATGGGTTGGGTTGGCTCGGGAGTCGGGTTATTGTGGGCCGGCCCTATATCCTACGTGCTACATCTTACATTCGGCATTCGCATACGGTGAGGATGCAGGATGGATTCTTTCTGGAAGATGAGACGAGGCTAGCTAGTTCAGGCACGCCAGGCCCGTCGCAATTCGAGTTCGATTGGCTCACCTTGTGTGGGATTTACTCACAGCCGTCGGACCAAAAGGGCAACTCGATTGACGTGACTGGAATCGAAATCGCCGGGAGGTGGGCGGTCCTTTGCAATTCGAGCGGCAATGGATATGATAACGAACCCGCAGCCACACCTGGAAATAGTTGCCGATCTGCATGCTGTGTCTATTTGTCGGCATCTGTTTCACGGAGGGAGGCCGGCCGCAAGCAGGTGGTGCCTGATTCTTATTTTAACATTTGAAAAAAGGGGACGATGTCAAAGCATGAAGCTCCCCTGTCTAAATCCGGGCTCGGAACTCACGCGATTGCCTACGGTATTATGTGGAGGGGGCGGTATATTAGAGTAGATGGTCAACCGGCTGTGCTACTGCAGGCCAAAAATGATGGCATCACAGGCAACAGGAGGTGGAATAGATGGACTGCCCGATTCCCTCTCTTGCTTCAGCGCAACTTGCCACACGCGCGAGATATAGTAGCAGGATCAACCAGTCGCGCAATCGATTTAGTTTGATGGCAATGATGGACATCGAAGTCTGGTTGCATGTGGATATAATGGGACCCTGATAGTAGCACTCGCTTTGGCGGGCCGATTAAACGATGGATTTGTCCTTCATTGTAGTGGCCTGCATGGGTTGGGCTTGTAGGGATCCGAGAGAAGATATAAGTGCAGGCACCCAGGTACGGAATGATATCCCCTGTTTGTGAGTTTTGACGGTGTGTGGGTGGGCTGAGATGGTCCTTGATGGAGATGAAAGAGTCGATGGAGGGAGAAGCGTAGGAAGGATCGAAGGAAGCGGCGAAGAAACCTGGGGAAAGTGGAGGACGAGGAATAAGATAGAGAAATCTGTTGGCTGGCTCGGGGCGGCCCAGTCACAGCTCCGGGGGTCCTTCATCTCGAGTTGAGACGGTCGAGGGTCGCGGATCCAGGCACGGAGATGAGAGCAGCAGTAGGTGTGTAGGCTGTCACCCAAACCAGTGATAATTAGCGGGCTGCACCTCTGCTGGACAGGCGTCGGGACCTTCTGGCAGTGGAGGCAGGCTGCTAATTAGGGCATCCACAGTGCCCCGGGGCAGGGCTCAAGCAGGACAAGACGCCCGTTAAACCGTCGGCTGGCTCTCCACACCACCAGCACAGCACCAGCACAGCGCCTCCACCTCCGCATGATGCAGCCATCCGCTTTGCTCCTCTGCTGAGGCCTTCTCCACCTCCGCACAGCATCAACTGGCCACATGCCCCTCCGACCCCTCACTGGCCCTCATTTGGTGCCTACCTCGCTCGCCTACATGGGGTAAGAGTCGGCACAGGAAGGGGGCCGTCACAGTGTGTCGTCCTTTCCCGTCGTGGCTAGCAGCCTCGCACTATCAATGGCCCGGACCAGCTTCGCCCTCGAGGTCCGCGCTGCTTCGCTTCTGGTCCTGGCTGCGACCAACACCGCTTCGATTCGCAGCAGTGTCGTCGCGGAAGCATCGATTCATGCCTGGCGCTGGGGCTGTGGGCACAGTGCAAGGTGCTAGACCGACCCATGTCCAGCCATCCAATCCGTGGCCACTCGTTTACCCTGTCTCCAGCTGGCTTCCATGCTTTCTGGTAAGCTCTGCCTGGCTCCTCACTGACGGATGCTACGTCGCCGACGACGGACATGCAGCAGGCCCCATGAGCGAGCGGTCATAAAAACAGCAGCAGACGAGTCCACCGTCTGCTAATAGCTAGTAGCCGCCAACGGCCACCGACGCAAGCACGCAAACAAAGCTGTCTTGGACCTAGGACAGGCGCAGGCCCTAGTTTAACTCCGTCCAGCGAGCCAAACCTTGGAACCTCCTTTTCCTGGATCGGCGCGGCCCCCTCACTCACCCCGGATTTCTCTGCTGCACCTACATAGTACCCGAGTGAAATGATCCCTACGAGACGCCCTTCTTGCGCGTGACATACGGTCGCTTCGGTTCCTTTCTCGAAAAGAAAAAAATCAATCCACCCCACGTACATACTTAACTACCTACTTACCGTTGCAACTTGTGGCTGAGAGACACCTCCCTCACCCCGTTGGAGGACCTGCCCATCTATCCGCCCATCGCAACCCCCAGCAACTGGTTGCCTACCACTGACAGATTTCCGGGAACCAATAATCGTATTGGTTGGGCTACCGTCGTTCTCGGTTGACCTCGGCTTCGCTCGTTGCATCCCTCTGACCTGATCTGAGCTCAACCCAGCTCCGTCCAACCATTCACTTACCTATTGCGCTCCTGTACTTGACCTGTCTGGCCTACTCCTCTGACATAAGGCTCGGTTTTCGCTCGCGATCCCTGACTACACCTACGACTGGCCGATATGAAATTCGTCCAGTACCCTGACTGAATGACTAACGGGCACTCCGGTAACAAACACCTGCCCTGGAGACACTGCTCTTCTCACACGTCACATAACTTCTTAATCACTAGGAGCTGAGGGAGACAGGCATCTGGGCAATGTGAAACTCGGGTCTCAAAGCTATCATCAATCTCGGCGCCGGAAGACATTCGCTCACCGACAAATCCCTTTTTTCCCCCTCAGAGCCGCTTTCCACTTTGCTGGCAACCCAGCCCGGCTGGGCTCTTTTAGTTCCTGATTCATTGGCAATCTTTGAGCGTTCCATGATCGCCTTATAGAGCATTGCCTTTCCCTTTTGAGGACATGAGCGTTTCCGTCTACAATCCCTCGGGTGCGCTTCCGCAAATGTCTGGTCCTCATGCGACAGTGGCCGTGAGTCGGCCTCAGGTCGGCATTGAGCGCCTCCCGGCCCGCCGGATGAGCAACGAGCCACGCGAATCTATGAATTGCAAATCTTGTAGGAAGCGAAAGGTTCGTTCTCATCTCCTGATATGCATTCACATCTCACTGGATGATTTGTTTTATGCTATCTTGAAGGCCTCGACTTACACATCCGGTGTCTAGATCAAATGCAATCGCCTTCGACCCGCGTGCGAGGCATGCCAGGTTTTCCAATGCCCTTGTATCTATGGTATGTTGAGATATTGGAACCCCATATTATCCCCTGCCCACGATGGGAACCGCTTGAATAGTATTGACCCATCTTGATAGACGCCGTACCCAAGAAGAGAGGCCCAAAAACAGATGTTTTGGACGCTTTGTTGAAGCGGGTGGATGGCCTCGAGGCCAAGTTACGAGAGAAGAACGCGGAGCAAGCCTCCTCATCTAGTTCGGCGGAGGCTACTACAGCTGTGAAAGAGGCTACAGATGAGGAACTCGAGAAGCCACCGCACAAGCGGTTGACTGTCGATACTAGAGCATCCCCAACAGGAGGGGAAACCTTGGCGACTCCCGTTTCCATCACCAAGTCAAAGTCTGTTCACCATTCTTCGGCACAAGTATTTGAATAGACATGCTGACCGATTGTGACCTTCATACAGGGAACGAGCCCCGCCACAAGTACCGGCTGAAGCCTTGATAGATACCTACTTTTCTCGATATCATGCGAAACCCTACCACATCCTAGATGAGTCCACGACTCGACAACGAGCACAGTTGGGCCAACTGCCTGACTTCCTTGCGAACGCTATGTTCGCGGTAGCTTCAAGGTAGGTAGATGCGCTCTGTTATTGTTGTACTTTCACTTGGCTCACCCTCCTCTCAGATACACTGCGCACCCTGACGGATATTCAGCAGCGGTTAATCTCAGCGAAGACTATGCAGCTCGTTCGAGAAAGGAGATTGATGCTGATGAACCTTCCGTGGACGGCTTACAAGCAGCACTTCTTCTGGTGATGGCCTTCATCGCATCCGGGAAGGGTAGAAAGGCATACATGCTTCTCGGTAGGTTTTACAATTCACAACTTCCTTGCAGTCCGTCCAAAGCTAATCTTAACTTTATAGCAACCGCGACCGGAATGGCGATGGCTCTCGAGCTGCATCGTGAGATGGACGACCAACGCATGGCCTCATCTACAGAAAAGGAGACCAGGAGACGACTGTTCTGGACTTGTTATCTCCTCGATCGTTTTACTGCCTGTGGCTCCAAGAGGCCATCCCTCATAAGTGATAAAACTATCATGCTTCGCCTTCCGTCCTGGGTACCGAGCCCGTCGGCGGGATACATCGAGGGAGAGTTTTTCCAGGCCGGCTCCAATCTACATCATTTCCAGGGAAGCGACAGAAAGTCTCAAGGCAGTACGGGTATGCTCATCGACATCACCCGTATCTTGGGGGTAACAAACAGATACTTGGCGGCCGGTGGTGTGAGAGGCGACTCGCACTTCCCTTGGCATTCTTTATCAAACCTGTCCAAGATTCGCCAAGACCTTGATACCTGGGCTTCCGGGACCGACGACGCATTCTCAAGCCTTGAAACGCTCTTTGGGCACCCGGACAGTACCACGCTGGTTCTTAGCAAGCTAATCTATCATCTGATCCACTGCTTGATCTACCGCCCCTTTTTACCGATCGACCTGTCCGAGCTTGCAGGCAACGGGCAACACGAATCATGGCAGATTGAGGCAACCAACATGTGTTTCTTGCACGCCAATGCCATTTCCGAACTAACAGAGCTCGGGAAGCAGACGCCAAATCTCGAATGGCCAGCATTTGTAGGATATTGCCTCTGTACGGCAGGAACAGTGCATATTCACGGGGCACACTATAGTAAACAAGGCGCAATTGGCGAGATGAATGTTTTCAGTTCTTCTTCGCGATTTCTTCCTCGAGAGATGCAGCATTTAAGCGAGCTGAGTTACGAGTGGGCAAGCGTTCAGCACCATAGGGAGACACTGCAGGGCATTTACAACGCCCACACTGAACTGGTCAAGACCCTGACTGGTAACATGAGATATACCCCGAGTTTCCATTTGGAGGACTTTTTTGAAAGGTATTCGAATATCGGCGGCCTGGGCGGGCCATCTTTTCAGTTTGATGCAGCAAACTTGAGCCTGTCGGATGCTGTGGTCAACTTCACCGCTGATACCTTTCCTGGGCACGATTTGTACGCACCGCGAACTTCTGGAGACCGAATACAAGCAGGTTTAGCACGTGGGAGCACTGCCTCGGTCTCTTCACGAGTGGCTCTGGATCTGAAGACAGAACACCAGCAATTGGCATCACCACGACGTCCAAGTTTCGCCAACCGATCCATGTCAACCTCTAGCTCTGCTGGCCTTGCAGCCAACGCCCACTCCGCAGTGCTTGCGGCAACAAACACCTTCGCGCCTTCACACAACCGTCACAACACAGGGCCGATGGAAGGGATTGACAGTCCAGTCTTGGGAAGCAGCTCAACAGAGCAAACCAGATCTGGTCAGCCGTCCAGCTTCCCGATCCACACCAATACTCAAATCAGTGCTGGCCAAGGCCTATCGCAGGTACCAGGAGGAGGACCGTTTAGTCCCAACTACAGCTTTGGGTCCGGGGCAGGAAATGCCGCACAGGTGCTGATTAACGACAGCAATGCACAGTATGACCCGATGTTTGGGACACTGCCCACCAATGCCTTTAGCAGCCCAGCAGCATGGCATGGTGACGACACTGCCCAGACAAACAAGATGAACTACCAAACATCGAACATGAATGCTCACAGTCCTGGAACTGGAAGCAACAACGGCAGCCTCACGACCACGCAGGCGGATGAAAAGGATCCGTTCTTAAGCCTATTAGAGCAGCTTGCAGAAAATGAGCAACGAGTCAATAATGGATTCAGCGATTTGGACTTCTTCTTAACTGGAGGTGGCTCTGTTGGTTGAAGGATGATTCAGTGCAAGACTGGACGACATAACAGAACAGACCATGTTGTCTAGAATACTAGACACGGGATGATAGTCAACGAACGCATGTGTGAAGAATTTGCAATGTAAAATTTACGTTTATGATGATGAAAAAATATATCCCTTATACAGAGTGATTAATCTATGTCTAATAACACGCTTTTGTTAATTATACTTCCCCCACTCCCTCGTTCTCCATGACGGCCACCCGGGCATCCACTTGCTCATCCTCCGTCTCCTCCCCCCTCTCAGGGGCAGTCCAGCCCGTCCCAGCCTGGAGGACGAGAACAATGACCCCCAACGCGGCAGCGGCCTGGAAGACGACCCTGATGGCGCCCGCGTACGAGTCTACCGCGACGGCCCTGTCCTCGGGGCTCAGGCCGCTCCCGTAGACCAGCTCGGGGGCGCCGAGGAGCTGCTCGATGAGCCACCTCTTGGCCGGCGTGAGGGACCCCTCGCCGTCGACGGAGCGGAACCCCTCGGTGAGGCGGGACCTCAGCACGCGGTTGAAGATGCCGCCGCCGATGGCGGTGCCGAACGCGCCGCCGAAGCCGCGGAAGGTGCCGAGGAGGCTGGTGGTGATGTAGCTGGTGCCGTCGTGGCTGTGGTGGAGGAGGTGGGCGAGGGTGTAGTTGATGGCGGCGCCGGTGACGAGGCCGGAGCCGAGGACGATGGCCGCGATGGCCGCGGTGGAGGAGTCCGGGTAGGTGCAGAGGGAGAGGGCCCACATGAGGAGAGTAAAAAGAGCGATGGAGACGAGGCAGGAGAGCCAGTAGGAGGCGTGACGGCGGATGTGGAGGTAGCCGACGAGGACGCCGCCGAGGGCGAAGCCGATGTTGGTGGGGAGGAGGATGGAGCCGGCGCGGGCGCGGGACTGGCCGTGGACGGCGAGCATGAAGATGGGGGTGTAGAAGAGGATGGTCCAGCGGGCTGAGAGGAGGCCGAGCTGGGAGAGGCAGCTGAGGAGGGTGGCGCGGGAGGAGAGGACTTTGAGGGGGATGATGGGGTCGGAGGCCACGAGGTACTCTACTGCGAGGAAGAGGAGGAGGGTACCGAGGGAGAGGAGGAGGATGAGGGGTTCAATGTCTCCAGCGAGGGCGTAGAGGAAGGCTACGATGGTAACAGTCTGGAGTAAGTTGTTAGAGAAGGTACAATACAGATAGGAACAGGTAACGTACGAGGAGGAAAGCTCCGATATAGTCGAGGCGGGCTAATTTTTGCCATACGGTGGCAGAGCCGGATTTCGTAGAGGATTCTGCAGGATGTGGCGGGATGCTGAGATAGAGGACTGTACCGCTGACAAGAGATAGTGGAGTCTGGATAGCGAAAAGTGGTCGCTTTAGGAGTTGATATGGTCAGTTATCGCTTATTGACTTGAAGAATCTGGTGAAAGGAGATATCCTTACCCATCCAAGAACCGGGAGGAGAGCTCCAAAAAGGATGCCTCCAAATGATACACCCAGACTTAAGCTCCCATTAACCAAGCCCAGAACGAATCCCCGCTGCTTCTTGCTCGTCATGTCCAAGACTAGGATGACTCCCAGTGAGAGGACGCCGGCTCCCCCTAAGCCGGTGATGACACGTCCCAAAGTGAATACTTGGAAGTTACCGGCGTAGGCGCTGACCAAGGAGCCTAATGCAACAAAGACGGCAATGGGCAGGACCAGGACGCGCGGGGAGAAGATGCTGGCGAGACGGCCGCCAAGAGGACCCAGTGCAGACATGGAAATGAGGTATGCGGATGTGAACCACATAACTTTGTCATATGCGTTGATGTCGTGGGCGATTGCACCCTGGATCACAACCATGCCTGACATATTGGTGGCTGCGGGCCATCGTCAGTTTTCTAGCTCTCAATAGGGCAAATATCGAAGCAGATGGCAAACCTTGGATGAAAATGAGAATCCAGAGACTGAGTCCTACGACGGAAGCTCGCAGAGGGCTAACCGGGGTGATGGGTTCGTCATCATCCGGGGTCGCGTTGGCTCGTAGATGTGGCTGCCCATTCTTGATTGATGAAGACTGAGCCCCTGAAGGAGATCCGGAAAGCAAAGGTGTCTCTTCCGATGCAGATTCCCGTTCTTGATACTCGATCCCGGGCCTCCCGGCTTCAACGGAGGTGACGCCGGGGACGGGCTCGGGATAAGGAGGTCGGCGCGTATCGGACCCCATCTTACAGTAACGGTTCAAATAGTCACATATGTCTCAAGGGAAGAAAAAGCTGGAGATCAAAGAATCCGAGGAAGATGGAAGAGAAACTCTCAGTCCAGCTTGGGATCAAATCGTGACCAGAATGTCCACGTCGAATTCGAGATGAGCAGGTTCATGCTGTTGATTGGTAATCTCAATATCTTATCGTCTTGCGGGGCTCAGCTCGAGCCGATCATCCCAGACAGGGACAAAAGCCCAGTAGAAATAGATAAGATCCCCCGAAGCTCGCATTTGCGATGCTGTGCGTTGCTTTTGATATTGGGAGAGGTTGTGTTTACGACGAGCATGCATACATAGACTAGAATCAGAGTTGGCCAATCGCAGCACAGGATAAAGGCTTGTGCAACGCCAGATAGTGATCACGACATCAGGCACGGCAGCACGAACCACAAATCTACCGCGCGCCACATATCCGCAATGTGGAGTGTGGCGTAAATATGCCCGTGCATGATGATGAGGATGACTGAGACATGCTTAATTGAACCAGATCAGTCTGAGTTGTCCACCGCTGCGAACCAACACTGTGTGTGGAAGAGGGCGCGGCCGCTCTCCCAGGATTGTCTTCGCAAACCCAGACTCTGACAACACATACATTGTGAAATCTGATATCTGAGCAGCCAAACAGAGAGAATGTGCTGTGACGGGTCAAGGGTTCCGTCTTGGCGTTCGCCGGCAACGTCATTTTCAGTCAGCAGCATGCACGCAACAGGCACCCAAGCAATTGCAGATGCGCAGCAGGATTGATTGAAGTGAACGAGGCCGGGTTGAGAACGAGCGCTATTAGCATCCGGAGCCAGCACATGCGCGCATTTTGCTGGCCACCTGACACTACCCCATAGACGGGTATGCACATGGGTACGGCCAAAATGCGCGCAACGCTCGTCCCCTGGGGAAAAAACAAACGGCGGGCTCCAGTTTTGGCGTTGTTGCGCTCATGTCGGTGTAGACTCGGAGAGGGCAGCCACATGCAGAGGCACATACATATGCCACCCGTGACACCCTCGTAGCATGGAGCGGTCTCGACAAGCCCAATAGGCCCGACACCAACGGCGGGATGTCGGCAGGGATGCCTCGTAACCGCAATTGCAGTATTCGGACAGAATTCCAGTTCCGGCCTCAAATACGATGGATGGATGTGCTTGGTGAAGCTTACGCAAGAGCAGAGGGAAAGAGCAGCTGATGCTCATGACCTGCCGCCCAACTAAAGAATCCGGGGAACGGGGCAGGCGGGTTCGAAGGGTCCTGCTAAGCACTTTCGCTCGCGCCTTCCTCTGTGCAGTTGCTAGCCCAGGCCTCTAGACTTAGGCAGGAGCTATCTTTGTATCACCGCCGGAAACCAATTGGCTTGCGCGTCTTTCTAATTGGCCCCCCTCACCCAGCATCTGCGCTTTGGTTTTTGCTTCGAGGGCGCGCTTATATTGTGTGTGTCTGTGCTGGTGTGTGCCATCATCTTCTCGTCATGACCAACAGTATGCCACCCAGCCCGGCCCTGGCGGGACTCAAGTTCTCGCTTCTCTGATTGGACCCCAGCGCGAGGTTTGCTCTGTCGATGTCATCGTTTAGCTCTGTCCCAGGTCCATGCACATCTCTCCACCCACCAACCGACGTCTCAATTCTCTCAGCCACCCAACCACTCGCTTGGGGCGGGTTAGTCGGGGTTTATCCCTCATGGGGGAGCAGTGAAAGTGAATTCGTTCATGCCATCCCCGCCAGACCGAAGCTAGTCCACTAAACGGTAGCTGTAGGGCAGTGCTTGATTGCGGTCACGGCTCCGACCGGTAATTGCCATCACGAGCATAAGAACAGTGAACCAGTCAAGAAAGACGCCCGGCAGCCTTGCGAGAATTGAATTCGCCTCATCCCGCACCTTTCGTCTTCCAATTCTGTCGACTTGTGCTTCGTCTTCTCCGATTTGGGTCTCACGCAGCCTTTCTGAGGGACTGCCGGTCCGGGACTGCATCTTTGCGGCCTCATCCCGAAACTCGCCTAGGAAAGCCTGACGCCAGCGCCAGTGACAACGAGGACGTGCTTGTTGGCCCAAACCTATCGCCCGCTCCAGCCCAGCGACGGAGAAAAAACTGGGATTTCCCGATATTGCAATCGGCATTTTAGGCCCTACTTGATGCACCCATTATTCGATCCCTCCCATCCACTTGTGTCAAGGGCCGCCAAGTCGGAAAAATTGATCAACATCATCATCATCACTGTACCAAAAATTTGCTCCTTCCCGGCCGCCCAGCAGTCCTCCTCCTCCCCGCATGTGCCTTCATCCCAATTTTTACACCGCATATAATAAGCGCTCAAGCCCTGCTCTGAAAGCGCTTAGTGGGACACGCGACCGCCCATTGCACCAACTCGACCGACCCGACTTATTCGTGTGGCGTAGGTACGCACAGACAGATGCGGCTCCACTGTCATTAATCTACACGACATCTACTAACGGCACCTAGCTTGGGCTTTCTGACTTCTTGGACATTTATCTTCATGCTCCACCTGGAAAAAACCTTTGGGGATCTGAAACCGAAATATCGCTTTACCGCCATGAGCCTTTGGATCCTTGGTAACCAATTCCGGTCTTGACATTGCTTCCGCCACCTTGTCAACCTCTCTGCCTGTAGTCACCGAGAGGGGGCAACCTTAAGTAGGAAATAAACTCTGAGGTCTGGCATCCGACAAAGCTCACTCAGGGTGGGAGCTCGAACAGCCAAATCAGTGGAAGAAAGAGTAGAAGGAAGAGGGGGAATACAGGGGGCGATTCTTTCGAGATATCGCCCTGCTTTGAAACTCCAAGCGCCAGCACCTCTGGTGAATTCCCAGGCCAAGATCGGGCCAAGTGAAAGACAGTCGAAAGACGGGAGAGACTGAGCGACAACTCCAGGGCTCGCTCACCACCACATTCCGACCGTCACATCATATCCCTCGTATTCCTGGATTCAGTCATTTAAATGGCCTGCAGCCCGACAACTACACTGGTGCATTGTCTCACTGGTTCGGACTCGTCGTGACCCTCCTGGATTGATACAATGGACGAAGACTGTTCCCCTCTTATCAGATCTTCAATTCATGCAACCTTATAGCAGCTATGTTGGAAGCACGCAGCAGCGATGCTGGCCAACATATTCCGGACCGAGGACCCCAGGTCTTTGCCGGAACTCTCGTCACCCTTATCCTCGCCACTGTCTTCGTCACCTCTCGGATCATCTGCCGCCACTTTATTGTGCGCAACGTGAGCTGGGATGACCGCGTCATAGTTCTGGCTTGGGTCTTCGCCTTCTTCCTCTCTTTCACCATCATGTTTGGTGCAAGCCACGGACTAGGAAGACTTGATGTGAATATCCAAGCTGATGAGCGCGGCGTTCTACGCCGTTGCGAGTATGTCTTCAGCATTCTCTATGCAGGTTACCCAGGCATTCCCTATGAGATTGATCTCTGGGCTAACACCATATATCAATACAGAATCCAGCCTTGGCCCTCATAAAAACGAGCGTGTTGATATTCTACTTACGGCTAGCCAAACACACGCAGCTCGTTCTCCGCTATAGCAGCTACTTCTTACTCGTCGTTGTCAATGTTGCTAGTTTTGTTCTCACCATGATCAACATCTTTCGTATGTGCACTTATCCGCCGGTTCTTTGTTCGGAAGCTGACCTTTTGCTATAGAGTGTAGCCCCATCAGTTCTGCCTGGAACCCATTCTATGAAGGCAAGATAACTTGCCTTCCTCTCCTCACTGAATTTATCTGCGCTTCTCCTGTCAACGTTGTGACAGACCTAGCTCTATTAGCGTTGCCTTTGGCAACTCTCGCAAGAAGTAAGTCAGCTAACATCCTTATTCGATGACAAATGAGTTTGCTCACGTTTTCTTTCACTCCGACTGCAGTGCGACTTCCAATAAAGCAAAAGGCCATTCTCATTTTTACATTCGGTCTAGCAATATTTGGTACGTGAATGTTGCCTTGTACATCTACTATTTGTGTCTGTTCAAACTCTTCATGGAAACTAAGACGAATCATAGTCACCGTCATCGATGTCGTTCGTATCCACACCATACAAAGTGCGATATCAGATATCCCGATTGGTGAAACCAACACTACTTTTGGCGGCCAAGATGACTTTGCTTGGAATGCATCGCTTTCATTCATGTGGAGCGCTGTTGAGGTGAACATCGGCATGACTTGTGCCTGTATTCCAACTCTCAAACCCCTGGTTCTCAAGATCCTTCCGTCGATGCTGTCCGATCCGAACAGTTCACGAACGACGGCATCGAAGAGCCGCAATGATTCAGATAATGCCGCCAATGGAAGCCTCTCCCGTCCAAGTGACGAGAACCCCTCCCCTACCAACACAACCCGAGCTGGTGAGCCACTGAATGGCCCGACTCCTGCAAATGACCAACATGAATCCACCGCCCTCGAGTTCCTCACTACGCCCGAGATGACGCATTTGCCGCAAGCCAACCCTTCTCCCCGGTTATCCGCCTTCTCACGCGCTCGGACAGATATCACAGGATCAACGTCTTTAACTGATGAGCACTCGGTTTACTTTGGTTTCGTCAACATGTCCAAACCCAAGAGCATGCTGAAAACATCAGCCTCCGAGTCCCTCAAATACTGCAGTATTGTAGCTATTCTCTTCCTATTGTGGGGCATGTCATACGGCCTGCTAAACACACTTAACACTGTTGTGGCCGCCATCAACAACTTCACCCAACCTCAGACTCTTGGATTGACCAGTGCATACTGGGCAGGTGGTTACTTGGTTGGTCCTATTCTGGTTGGAGAGTGGATTCTTCGCCGAGATGAACACAATCGTTCCAGGAGGCATAGTAAAAACGAGGAAGAGAATGTAGGCGGCTTCAAGGTCACATTCATCTGTGGTCTTTGCTTTTACGTAAGTTCACACCCCTTCCGCGGAAGAAACCATTGCAGGAGGGTCACGCTAATATCTTCAACGTTTTAAGGGCATCGGAACAATAATATTCTGGCCCTCGGCCGTCACGCACTCATACGCTGGCTTTATGGTATCAAATTTTGTCGTGGGGTTCGGACTTAGCATCCTTGGTAAGCATTTCAAAGGTACTTGCCGTTTCAATGATCGAAAGACTGATAGCCGATGCAACAGAGGTGGCCGCGAACACCTTCATTGTTCTTTGTGGACCCAGAGAACACGGCGAAACAAGGTTGATGATATGTCAGGCCATACAGGCGATCGGAAGTGTTTTGTCCGGCGTCCTCGCCAACAAGGTATTCTTCACCAATGTTGGGGATGACGGCTATACCTCAAGCACGGTGCTTATCAACGTTCAATGGACTTACCTGGCCATCACGCTCCTCTGCGCTGCTCTCGGTCTCTTCTTCTTCTATATGCCTCTTCCCGAGGTAAGTGACCAAGAGCTCGAGGACTCGACCAAACGAATCCCAGTAGATCCAAAGAAAAAGACGGCTGTCGGTCTTCAACTTCGCACCGTTGCTATCATTCTTGCTGTCCTCGCGCAATGGTTTTATGTCGGCGCTCAAGAATGCAACAGCACATATTTCCGCGCCCTGCTCCTCTCGACAATCCCACCCCACACCAGCAGCGGTGTGACTACTGAGACGACAAACCCCGTTGCCTCGGACAGGCCCCCGGGGATTGCAGTGTCTATCCCAGACTACCTCCTTATTGGCCACGGGGCTTTTGCCGTATCCCGTATCCTATTCAGCTACCTTCTCTACCTATCCGGCACACGCCCCAGCTTTCCAAAGCCGCGTAAACTTCTCTCGATTTCTCTCGTTTTCTCGTTCATTTTCGCTCTTCTCCCGGTCGTCCTCAAGCTGTCCAACCCGAACCTCCTAGTCATCCCGGTCATTCTCTTCTTCTTTTTCGAAGGTCCCACCTGGCCCCTCATCTTTGCCATCGGTCTCCGCGGCCAAGGGCGGCGTACCAAGCGGGCGGCCGCCTTTCTCACCATGAGTAATTCCGGTGGAGGTATCGCTCCCTTCATCATGTACGGGATTGTGGCCAGCGGCGGCTCGGTCCGCATCAGCTATATCCTTATTGTCGTTCTTCAGGTTCTCATAATGGCATATATGCTACTTCTCGAATGCGTCAAAGATGTTAGAACAATGGTCGATCCAATTCCCAAGGCTCCTCATCCTATAGCTGATGAGGAGGCACCATCTCACGACGTCACGTCCAATGATTTACATCAAGGGGAACCCTTGAATGAGAATCAAAAAACCCTTTTTGGGAACTTTAAAGGTTTCAAATTACCAGTACCCCGGAGGAAGTCCTAATCTTTTATTGGAAGATTTTTGCATAAAGACAGGGTTACCAAATAACATCAGCTCTCTACAGAGAGGAAAAGGCCGCTTAGTGCCAAGGCGTTCCGGCTTGGATATATTATTCATCTATACCACTTTTTCCCATGGGGCGGCTATCAGTTACAATTTTATTTTTTGGGTAGCAAGCGTCTGTTTTTGGAGGCTAATCCGGCGTTTGGGACTATGAGTTATGAGTTCATGTCACGGGGATATATCAAATACACAAAGGCTATGGACATATATATATATATACCTTAGCTATGTATTTAGACTCGAACGTATATACATACTAATGAGCAATTCTTTGGGATCTTTTCAATCAGATCCACGCCACAAATCGGCCACACTGAGCCTGCTTGATCAGACATTTCCCAAATAAAGCTACATGACCTGACCAAAGCCATGCAGGAGCGTGCTTATATGTGGTGATTTCTGCCCTCTTGGCTGCATCTGAGAAGCAGTTTCACCATTTTGACCCAATGTCCCTCTCAATCTTAGCGAACACGTCGACACCCTCGCTTCCAAGCCCAGTCCCCACGCCCACCATGGAGGCACCAGCGGCCCTCATGCGCCTGTACCCGCCCCCATCGCTCACGCCGCCCACGCCCACAATGGCAACATGGCGCAGGCTGCCGTCCCCCTCGTCGAGCATCCTCCGGATCGTCGCCACGTTCCCCAGCGCCAGAGGGTGCAGCGGCGGGCCCGCCATCCCGCCGATGCCTCCGCTGTCCCCAAGCGGCAACGCTGGGCCCATCGCCCTACCATCATCATCCCCCATCGAGGTCATCACGAGGCAGGACCCGAGGGTGTTGGTGGCCGTGATGAAGCTCAGCTTGGCGCCGGCGCGCTCCTCCCGCAGCGTGCCCAGCAGGGACTGGTACTGCCCCGCGTGGGTGTAGGGCGGCGTCTTGACACCCAGTGGGATGGCGGGGTCGCTGGGCAGGGCGGCCAAATACAGGCGCAGGGAGGCCGGGTCGTAGGCGGGAGGGGGCCGGCCAGGGATGTTGGGGCAGCTGAGGTTGACCTCGAGGGCGAGGGGGAAGGGGACCTGGGGGGCGAGGGAGGCGACGGCGGCGTAGCAGGCCGCGATGTCCTCTGGGGAGCCGGTGACGCTGACGATGAAGGTCTTGTGGGGCGCCGAAGGTGTAAGCTCGGACGCGAGCTGGCGGATCATGTCCAGGTAGCCATGGAGGGGGATGGGGGAGTAGCCCAGGGTGTTGAGGGAGGCAGTGTGCGCCGCCTCGGAGGGCCTGACGCTGCTGGCAGTGGCGATGGCCCGTCCTGGCTCATCTGGGAAGGAATATGTGTCTCCGTCTGGGGTGTTGGGGGCGCCGGGGTCGAAGAAGGCGAAGCGGTGCCGGTCTGGCTGGTGGTCGAATCCGGCGAGCAGCGACGTCCTGGTCGTCACGGCTCCCGTCGAAGGAGAGTCCAGGAGGGCCTTCAGACATGCCAGGTCTGTCGCCCAGGGGCAGGCCGAATTGACCAAAGGGGGATGGAATTGAAGAGGCGGCGGCATCTGGGACGACTACGGTCACAAAGGGTGGTATTCAGCATGTCACGACGTAGCATGGAGACTATGGAGCGAAGGATGGAACGTTGTTCATATACCAGCTGACCGGGTGGTGTGGGGAGGGCTGCAGGCGCGCGGATAACACATACCACGCATATCGACTGATTGATTGATTGATTGATTGATACGTAGTGATAGAGAGATAGAGAGATAGAGGGGTGGGTTTGATTGATATGCGAGGATGGGATATGGCCGATAGACTTACATGCAATCTATCTTCTCCGCATTCGAGCAATGATAAGAAAAACGTTACTCCACTACAACTCTAATAAGTAAATAGACGAGAATGATGATTCTAGGCAACCGAGGTTCAGTGAGCCCCCACTAATTCACTTCGCTTTGAAGCATCGAGACTCAATGTAAATGCATATAGATTGCAGGTAGTGGTATATAAAAATCATAATCTAGAACCCCATGCGCGCGCCTGTTAAACCAAACCAAATAGATATTCCCCGATTCCAAGTGAGAGGGCCCACATTCCTTCTATAGACAGACCGAAAAGTAAGGAAAAGTATCATCAAGCCATTCACCATCCAAATTCCTCGCAGTGAAGTTCAACTGAAGGTGCCTCGCCGTGGAGACAAGACACCGTCTTGCTTCGAACTGTTTCCATCAAACCTCCCGGTCCGCAGCCCAGAACCAGCACGTGCTTCTCCGGGCTCATCTCATGGATTGAGTCTCCAATTAGCGAGCCAACATCGGGTCGACCGTAGGCGATTGGAGCGTTTCCAAAGTGTGTGGCCGTATATGCAGCATCTTCGCTCTCAGATAGAATACCTCCTTTCTCAGGATCGACATCTGCTCCTTCCTCTTTGTTTGAGGAGGAGCCTGGGGCAGATCGTGTAAACATATTTTCGTCGGAGTCGGTGTCGGAGTCTCCCAGGCTGGGAGATTTGGTAACAAAAAGCTTCACGTTTACACGCCCATCTGACTGCAGCCTCTTTACATCCCGGGCGTACCAGGGCAGTTGTGCTATCAAGTCTGTCAGCGCGGTTTTCGTATTTCGTTCGATTCAGGGGTTCTGTACTTACTCGCATTTCTCACAATCCAGATGAGTAGAATAGCTTCATTTCTGTCTTCAGGTATTCTTTTCAAAGCATCCAGAGCCATACCGAAGACAAATGAGGCACCACAGCCTCCACCAACCATGATGGTCTTGTCAAAATTGGCAATGTTGGGCGTTGAACCATAGGCGCCATCAACACTAGCTTTGAGAGTGATTCCTGGATGGGTGACGGCCCATCTATGGAGATCTGCTGTGAAACCATCCTGGGCAGCAATGACAAACTCCATGGGATGCAAGGATGCAATTGTGAAAGGGTGTGTCTCAAACTGTCTGATCTTGGGGATCCATAAAAAGCAGTGCTTTCCTGCAGCCGCTCCCATTGGGGGCTTCTTCAAGCACACCCGAGTTGCACCGTCGGAGAGGGGGTACAATGTGACCTCGTTAGACACACTGCTGATCAGAAGCCGGCCTATTCTCAAAAGTCGGTCCAAGACCCAGATACCCCCACAAGCAGCAACAACCTGAAGGATGTTCTTGCTGAGCTCTGGCTGGTGGAGGCCGACCATAATAATGCCGACAATCCAGAAAAAGATGTGTGTAACATAGAAGAGCTCATACCACCAAGGGCGGATGACGATCCCAGAGAATGCAAGGAAGAAAAAGGAACAACCGGCAACCATGCCATAGATTTCTTCCCGTTCCAGTAGCCTCGTCGGGCGGCCATCGGCGACGAAATAGGCACTGTAAGTCGAAAGGTGCACAAGGACTTGGATGACTGTCACCCAGCCAGCATATCGGTGAAGGACGTTCAATCGTTCGTAGGACCATGAGAAAAATGCCAGGGGAGTGTTCTTCAGGCTCAACAGGACAACGAGAACAAAGTTCCCAATCGCCATCCTATATGTTCAAGTTAGCTTCTTCTCCCCACGACCAAATAAATACAGCAGGGTGGAGTTGGCTTACCATCCTGCTCTCGAGGCTATATTGGGCAGCATAGGAAAGTTTTTGTTATCCAGGTTGGTGAGGGTGAGTATGATGTTGGCGGCGAAGTAGAGGAAGATGACGGCGGTATGGCCGATCGACGGGGCGAAGGATACGGGGGCTTTTCGTACTGCCACATTCCTGATTTTCCTGCACCACAAAGTCAGCCATGTACTCCGAACGAAGGCTAATATCCTGATTGTGGGCTTACCTCGTTGCGAGTTGAAAGACAGATGGCTTGCTCTGCTTTCGGCTGAGACACTTGCGTCCCAGGATTCTGACGACATGAAACAGCATACAGATAAACAAGATGCCGCCGATGATTATCCCGAATAGATACATGGTATTGTGGTTGTCTCTCGTTCGCTTAGCGAACTTGGCGAGAACCTCGGGAGTGTAATGTGATCCAGCCATAGTGAACTTGTCGTGACGCTTCCAGTGGAAGAAGGAGGGAAGACAAGGTCAATCCGTGGAGGTCCCAAGGCAAGGATTTATAGCCGCATACACTAGATCATGCAAGTTCCATGTAATCAAGTTTTGAATGGGATGAGGTAATGTGGGAAGAGAACTCTCAAAGGTGCTCTGAGTGAGTGATCGTCATCCGCTCAGACAGGAAGATCTGAATAATAAACGGGGGCAATAAGAGAATGAGAATTCCCTTGGCCTTAACACAAACCACAGTTGAATTATGATGAAACAGATGAGAGTTCTCGACCATTCCATGAACTGATGACGAAGGAGAGAGGAGTGACGGCAGCTTTATGTCCCCAAGGAAGGGAGGCTACCCGCGTTCAGGATCCGGCAACAACCAGCCGAGATGATAACATAGAGCTCTTGAGGGATTGAATGCTACATGCCGTGCTCAAAAAAGCTTTTGGGCCGCTAGTGGTTTCAATAACTGAGGCGAATATCGCCCGATTTTTCACCTTGAGTGTAGTCATAGAGGCTCGAAGTGCTCAGGGTACCGCCTCCACAGCAGCCTACCCATGCAGATGATAGCATAACGCTTGCTATGCCATCCACCAAGATCCCTGATGGGGACCATTTCCGCGGCCGCGCGCTTGTATTGTTAATCATTAGAAAACCAGAAATGCTTACGACGAGACCTACATCAGGAAGGAGAACGGGGCGTTCTAGGACTTGGCTTCGAAACTGAGGTAACAAGGGGGTATCCTCTTGGGGATCTAAGTCCAGCGTGTTAAGCTCGGAGAACAGCCGTGGAGGGCGGCGGCCCCATAGGATAGATTTACTTGACACTCCCGAGATCCCTTTGTTTCGGACAGGGTGCTTCCGCATACCCCCCCTGGTCCTGGTACACGGCCTTCAGTCCCTGGAGACACATTATAAAAAGTACCATCCTGGACCTTGTCTGATAGGGAATCACCGCGTACGTAGCCCAAGAGTTGCCATGTAGCTTGGAGTTTAGGGCTCAGTACATCATTGTGCCCAAGTAAAATGCCACGAGGGAGGCGCTGCAACACCACCTCAGCCAAAGCTAGGATGCGGGCCTGTTTGTTGGGCTCGACTATGCACCAAACCATGTAGAATGACATGATTTGAGACGGCCATCACACCCTGCCTGCAACATTATCTTAACGTGTTCCCAATATCGTTCCCAATAGAGCGAGGTCGGACAAGTCAAAGACAAGGAGGGTCTCGTCCGACGACCCTCGTGGTGAAGAAATGACAGAAGTAACATGACCTAGGCGGACTCGCCTTCCGCATTCCAACATTGGTGCAGCGATGACAGACTTCTTTGGTCCTGAAGAAAAGACACCATCAGACCGAACGGGAATGTCATACTCTAGTGCCAAACTTGCTATGCCAAAAGCGAAGTGTCAGCGTCGGAGGAAAGGGACCCTGGCAGACCAGTTGACCTTGAATATCTCGCCATTCCATCCAAAGACGGGAATACACAATGGAAGAAAGGCACGATAAACCGCAGACCTCTCTCGTATAGACACTGTCATAGAGAGACGACGATTTCCGGATGCACAGCAACGGAGGCCTACTGTCCGCGGGAGAGTCAGCGGTGAGGGCATGGGCCAGTCGGCTTTCATGTGATAGAATGTGTTGGTTATGGCCGATGAGAACCCCAGCCAAGCTCGTTTCGATCGGCAAGGCCAGATGCAGGAGGTATGCGTCAAGGCTACCCGGTGAGCCTCGCTAATGCAATTCAAGAAGATATCGTGGCATCAAGAGTAGCATCAAGAGTAGCATCATCGCCATGCCTCGCAGCGAGTCAAGGGTCAGGGGGGGGAGAAAACGCGATGCTTGATAGATCAATGACACCTATCAGATGGAAGGTGGAAGAAGGCGGAGATGATATGCAAGCCCTACGCAAGGGACGAGACTGCAGCGATTCAGGCCAGATGCAGCAAGAGCCACCTCAGGCAAAGTAAAGTAACCTCAGGTAAGGCAGGCACGCCACCCGCCTGGCACCCGCCTCGGCCTTTGCACCTGCCTCGATGTTTGCCGGTATCAGCAGCACCTTCCTCGTCCTGCTGCTACTCTCCTGCTGCCTTGCTCAATCAGTGGATTCTTTCACTTTGCAAGCTTCTAGCCCCAGTTGGATGGGACAGATAGATCACCACTCCCATGCCAACCAACGAGCCAAGTATCCATCTGCGCGCTGCTGCGGCAGATCCAGGCCTGACGGTGTGTAGGTGGGGTGCAGGAACGTTGAGTCCAAGCCACATACGACCTGCCTTGCGAAGCCCCCGATCTGCAATGATCTGTTTCTCGAGATCCCTTCTAAACCTTACAGAGCCTAGCCAGAGCCAGGGCTCCCTCACAAAGGTCCCTCTCCTCGGCCAGGCTCTAGATGGGTAGAGTGAGTCTGGCTTCACTAACGCATCAAGTCCAAGATACGGCGGCCGACCAATGCCAGGATCCATCCGCACTACCGGCCTCACCTACTGCCGTGCTGATGCCGGCAGACCAAGCCAGTGCCCTATAC